ATTCTTTAATATGGGGAAAAGTGCTGCTGAGGCCTTTCGTTTGCTTTCGGAAACTTATGGTACGGAATGTATTGGTGAATCAACGTGCCGCGAGTGGTTCAAACGGTTCAAAACTGGTGATTTTGAAGTTGAAGACAAGGATCGCTCCGGAAAGCCGAAAACTTTCGAAGACGAGGAATTGGACGCTTTGCTGAGTGAGGATTCGTGTCAGACTCAAAAAGAACTTTCTGCAGCATTGGGCGTCACACAACAAGCCATTTCCCTGCGCCTAAAAACATTGGGATTCATCCAAAAGGTTGAAAACTAGGTGCCCTACGAATTGAAGCCAAGGGACGTCGAACGGCGATTTTGCATGTCCGAAATGTTGCTGCAGAGGTACAAAAATAAATCATTTTTGCATCGTATTGTCACTGGCGATGAAAAATAGATTTATTACGACAATCCTAAACGGAGACATTCGTATACAAAGCCCGGTGAGCCCGCCCAACCGACGCCGAAACGAAATATTCACGTGAATAAGGTCATGCTCTGCATATGGTGGGATCAAAAGGGTGTCATATACTACGAACTGCTTCCGAGTGGTCAAACCATCAAAGGACCATTGTATCGAACCCAATTAATTCGTCTGAAGCGGGCGTTACAGGAGAAACGGCTAGAATATGAGACTAGGCATGAGTCCGTCATTTTGCAGCACGACAACGCTAGGCCACATGTTGCGACTTCGGTGAAGAACTATTTGGAGAATAGTGGATGGGAAATTCTGCCTCACCCGCCTTACAGCCCAGACCTGGCACCATCGGACTTTCACTTGTTTCGGTCGATGCAGAACGCTCTTACGGGAATACGCTTCACTTCAGCAGAGGAAATCAAAAATTGGATTGATACATTCTTGGGCTCGAAAGATGAAAAATTTTTTTGGTCCGGAATTCACAAATTGCCTGAAAGATGGGAAAAAGTTGTAACTTCTGATGGACAATATTTTGAATGAAGGATATGTAACCATATTTTCATAATAAAGCCTCAAACTTAGAAAAAAAACGCTGGAAACTTACTTGTACACCCAATACAATGGAATCAAAAGAAAAAATTAAGAATTAACATCCATAAAAACAAATCACTTGGTTAAAAAAGATGCTTTCTGGCTTTATTAAGATAAAGTAAATAAGGTCGCGCTCAGTGTTCGAATTCAATGATTTACCTCAAAAAAAAACAGTTCCTTTTTCAGATCAAGTAATTAACTTCAGCTTGTACACTTACAGCTTCTTTTCCATTTTGCTAATTTCGCCCATCTCGCCTCGATATGGTATATATATTTGAAACTGCAATAAAATGATTTATAAATTTATTGAATATAGTGCACGTATAAATAGCGAAAGCTGTACGTGCACTTTATTCAATTAATTTATAAATCATTTTCTTGCAATTTAAAATATGAACCACATCTTTGAGACGGGCGGAACAAGAGGAATGGAAAAAGAGCTTGAGTGTATAACTCTGAAGTTGACTGCTTACTCTGAAAAGAAACTTATCCAAACTATTGAAGAAATAATACATCGAATAATTAATAAATGCAAACTCTGATTTTCAACTCAATCTTGCGATATAATCAATATCACGACCGATTTCTGCACAAAAAAACTAAAATTGGAAACATTTATCACATTTTTCTAAGCATTATATCACATTTTTTCAACTATTAACAAGGATGACAACGCTGTACAAACGACAATTTGCGGGACTACATGCGAGCCTCGTGCTCACGTTACATCGTGTAGTCATTTACTTAAGCACAGTTTAGATAGATACAGTTACGAAACTTAATGCTTGTAAAGTTACCTGAATTTTCTACTACATGTGTACAAAAATGTACGACCAAGAACATGACGTATACGCCGAGTGCAGCCAGCTGTTCAAGTGATTTATTTGATTGGATTAATTGGACGGTGTTTAATGATATTATTTTTTCTTAACAAAGAACGAAAAAATATTGTAAAATACCTTATAGCTGTTTAAATAAATTATTATTCACGTTTGTTCGACAAAATTGCTTTTCTTTTTACAAAGAACGAAGGAATGTTAGAAAACTATCAGTATTTAAAATTGCGCGGTCGATAATGCCAGGAATATGACGGTCGATACTACATTGGAGGATATATTTCTTATTTAAAATGTCGCAACTATATATATCTAAACTTCGATATCATAGGATTAACTTGGAAAGTAGCCGAAGCTAAGATCCAGTGAAAAACTCAGTTTTTTACCTATAACGCTTTACAGGTACATCATAGGATAAAACCAATAGCACTATCGTATTCTACGTTAAAAAATATATGGAAAATATATGTTACACTTTCCCCATTGATACATGATATGACGAGAAATCAACGATTGTATTCTGACCATTCTATTTCTCGAGTGTTACATAAAGGTCCTAAATACAATCATTGATTTGTCATAATGTAATAATGCTAACAATGAAGGTATTATATTTACATATAGTATAATATGATATAAGAATACTTTCGAAATTACTAATATAAGTGCTCACGCTTATTATTATATAAATCTGATATAACGCCATACAAATCTGATATAACTCGTATATATTTTCGATTTATTTTTTAACGTAGAACTGGTACTATTTATTTCATCCTAATAACCGTAAATCCATGATTCGTCACCAGTTGTCACTCTTTTGAGTATATCAGGATCACCATTGACGTCGTTTAACAGCTTCTTGAACAATGCTTCTTCGACGATCCTTTTTTTTAAAATTAAGCGGTTTCAGAACCAATTTTTGCTGCTACACGTTTCATGCCCAAAACCTCGGAAAAAATTGCATTGCATGAACTAACGGAGATATTGACGTCTTCAGTCACTTCTCTAATACTGATTCGACGATTTTTTAACAGTTATTGAAGTGCTGGGGCGTCCAGAGCAAGATTCGTCGTCGGTGTGTTCTCATCCATCTTGAAAGAACTTATACCACTAGTAAACATTTTTTTGACTTAAAGTAGACTCACCGTATGCCACTGTCAACATTTCAAGTATTTTGGAGCACTTGATTCCATTTTTTACACAAAATTTTATGCAATCTCTTTGATCCATTATTTTCGACAGCAGAAAATCGCCAAGCACAAAAAATACATTTAACGTTTCTGTATTGAAAAAAAAAGTTAACATACAAACTGACTGAAACTGTGAGCATATGTAAGGGATGTCCCTTTCATACATGTATACCAACATAATAAAAAAAATATCGATGATCGAATCTACGTAGTCCACCCAATTTAAAAATTCACCTTACTTTTTGAAGACACCTCGTATTCGCTCTGTCAGTTGAAATTGTTAACCTATTAACCTATTGTTAACCAAAATTGTTAAAATATTCAGTAGTTGTTAACTCAGTGTTCGTGGTTTCTGTTCAATGTGTGGAGCCTTTTGCGTTATTTGAAAATTGCTATTTTAAAAGCCAAGTTGTCAAAAAATAAAAAAACCTCGTATACATTCCCACCTTACAGTACCCTTTGAGAATAGCTCTGAGAATTTAATTGTTTTTATGATACTAAATTCTTACTAAGATTAAATCATCATAACAGATAAATGTTTTATTAGTATATTAAATGAAAGTATCATGATAAATATTCATTTTTACAGTAAGAAGGTTTAGTTAATTTCTTGTAAGGACCTAATAGTAATCGTTACCAATTAAAAATCATATTTTTTAATAAAGTACTGAAGAATCTGATAATTTTGAATATTTGTTACATACCTGACGGGACTCTGGCTGAGATGGCCGGCCCTGTCTGGCCTGCTCTCTCGCCCACGATTTGCTCCTTCGTTGTGACCATGGCGAGCATGATAAAGCCAAGAACCATTACCGATTCCCACAACGCTTTATTCTAGGATAAATACCTGTGGCTGGTATCGTTAGTGGGAGCCAATTGAGAGCGAGAATGGCAGCGTTGAGAATAGAGAGAGAAGTTACGTCACGTAAACAAGCGCGAGCGACCTGCATCGAGGGCGGAGCCACCAGTGTTGCTCGAGCCTGCACGCGCGCGGCGGCGAGAGAGTAGAGTTCGAGCTCAGCATTTGATCAGAGAGTATCGACCGTGACGGTCGAGAACGTGCGCGCTAGAGAGAAAAGCCATCGATTTCCAGAATTGCTGATTGCAGAGCAACAGGTTTAGGAATGAGGACGATGCTGGGCATAGAACGGCGAGGAAAAATTATTGTCCAGGGCTTGGAGACTTCGAGTCAGCCTGATATCAATTTGTCAGCGACTGCAGCATCAGTTCAGCCAGCAGCCTTCTTCAGGTCAGGTCGTCTCTCTCTTTCTCTCTCTCTTCTTTCATTCGCGAGTGTGCGACGCGACGGCGAAGTGCTCGCCATCATCCACGAGCACCGCGTTTACGGCGATATCCATCCTTCATCGCCTCTCAAAGATGTTCTTGTACCGTTCCCCTGTGCGTTCTTCCGCACGAATGAAGGCACGCGGCTACAGAGAACGATGCGTAAGTCCGCGTTGTCTCTATTTTTGTACAAGTTAATAAAATAAATATAATCTAACGTGATTGAGAGTCATTACTGTGTGCGCTCATCATTTCCGTCCTCTCGGATTAAAACCCAATCCACCAACTTCGTGACGAAGCCCATCATCACATTTGCAGTGGAGTGAATGAACCTTCCGCACCTTCCTCTTAAAAATAATTAGTAACAGAACACTTAGGCACTGGCCTAAATTGTGGCTAGTGGGAAGAATTGAATACGATTCTTTCCCTTACACGTTTCATAAATTATAGTGTTACACATATATTGGTTTATTTTATAACTTATACGTTTTCTTCACAAATCAAAGCAAATTTTCGTGTTCAGAACTAAGTTAAATTTTCTTAATTATTTCAACCAATAAACTAAAGTTTTATAGCATGTCATTATAAGCCAATATAACTTCAGTACTGAACATGAGAACATGCAAAACTTAAGGTAAAATTTCTTACCGGTACTAGAAGGTGGTTGGTTGCTCGATGGAAATACTTCCATCTGCGAACGCTTGCCTTCACCAAGAGTTGGAGATCCTACCCGACTAGTTCCTAAAAAATAAAAAAATTTCAGTTATACATATATTTGTATGAGTATTACAAACCATAGTAGATAACCTAGAAAGGCCTCAGATTAGGGGGAATCAGATGTGTCTCCTGAAATTTCATTAATAACACAGGCCTGCAAGGTTTTGTTCTTTTGCAACTGAGAGTCATTTCCGAAGTAATTTTTGGCGTAGAATTCGAATCCGTCATCAGAATTTCTCCATCACGTCAGGTTTTTGAGTAATCGTCCCCTAAAGGTCGAAAAAAACACGTTTTTTGGCCATATTCAAGGCTTGATTACATGTGAGTTTATATTCTTTTCAAAAACGGTCAAATTCTAGAATCATTATAAAAAAAAACTAAGAAATATATCGTATTCTTCCAGGAAAATTGGCCGAACTTTTAAGCTCATGGTGAAACCTCAAAAATGGCAAACTTCAATTGATGATATCTTGATGAAAAAAAATGATATCTTAAATTTGAAAAATGGGTTTTGAAGGGTAAGAGTGCTTCTTTAAGATGCCGTCAACCGTTTTTGAAAAGAATATAAACTCACGATGTAATCAAGCCTTGAATATGGCCAAAAAACGTGTTTTTTCGACCTTTAGGGGACGATTACTCAAAAACCTGACGTGATGAAGCAATTCTGACGACGGATTCTAATTCTACGCCAAAAATTACTTCGGAAATGACCGTAAGTTGTAAAAGAACAGTGACGACTCTCTATTTTGCAGGCCTGTGTAATGATACATAGTCATACGGAAAATTAGTTTTACTATTTTATAACGCTGTCTGTTGTATGGTATATCCATCGTCTTGTCTAGAATATCATGTTTTTCTAAATACGATGATAGTTTCTTGAAATACGAAGTCGTCAATAGGAATGTATCGACAAATATTAGATTTATTTCTCTACATTCCACATACTTGGTGAAAGATATATATTTTCCTTCGATTGAGGAAGAAGACTCATTGAACCAGGGAAACTATTGACAATTTCTTTAAAATGAGGGCTCGTACAACTGAGATTATGAAAAATATACGGGTATATTCTTCCATTATTGATAAGCAATCAATCTTAGGCCAGCCAGCGATTGTGCACCTAATCATTTACGTTAAATAAATACATTGAATATTATGCATAATAATACAACATAAATCAACGTAAATCACTTTTTACATAAACAATAGTTCATGTGAAAAAAAATTATATATACAATCGTTGGGCTATCCCATATTATACGTGCTATGAGCAGGTTTATGATATTTTTCCGTAAAGTGACGATAATCGAGAATTTTTGTATCCTTTTCAATATCAATAGGCTTTTTCTATATATACACTACCGTCCGAAAGTTTGAGCTCACCTAGAAAAAAAAGGGAAATCTTAAAAGTTCGATATCTCAGCAACTAAACATCGTAGAAAACTTTACCTTAGCTCATTTTTAAGCTCTTGCTGAGCACTTCAAAAGTCATGTTTACAGATTTTTTGTAAGATCTACTCAGTTCATTCTGTACAAGTCTATAAAAGTCGACATTTCGAAAAATTTTTATTCCAGTTCAACTTCTTGTATGTTACCCGGAAGATATCATATCTTTAAAAACTAATTCTATCACAAAGTAGGATGTAAAAGCTTTAAAATGAGCTGAGAAACGTTCATTCAAGTCTATTTTTCATCAAGTTATAGATATTTTTGTGAAGAATATCCAATTTTCTAAATTAAAGTTTATTTCAGTAACTATCCACCGTACAGAAAAATGATACTCAGAGAATATGTTCCATTTTCAAAAGAGAATGGAATAATAAATTCCAAAATTCATGAAAAGAACTTTTATTTTTCTACTATTCTAGTCAGCTCTGTTTAAATCATGAAAAATTATACAGGAGTATTATATACAAATAGTATAAATATCAATTGTGAATAGAATGAAATGAATAAGTATATTTGGAGTTTCCATCATCATATTCTAACAGAAATTAACGAATCATAAATATTTATAGGAATACGTCGATCGAATCAGTTTTATACAAAAAGTATAACAGAAACTTAAGTAAATTAAATCACTCAAACTATAATAGTCACTCATAACACTACAACATAAACTCTTTATTTTTTAGTCTTAATTCATTCAGTTACTAGTCACTTTATTTTAAATCTTAGTTTTATCAAAGTATCCGCTATGAAATCTTATTATAGCTTTGCAAATGCGCCGCAATCTATCAATTAATTTTTCAACACATTTTCTCCAATACGGCACCATTCTTCTTTTAATGATTCCCGTAGCTCATTTTTATTCCATAATCTTTTGCTCTTGATGCTTCTATCCAAATGATCCCATAAATACTCGATAGGATTACAGTCAGGACTCTGAGAAGGCCACTCTCTGATCTGAAGGCTTTTTTGTTTTTCTTTTGACCTTAAATAATTCATACAAAATTTCGATGTATGCTTCGGGGCATCGTCTTGTTGCATTACAAAATTTGCACCAATAAGTTGATTACCCGATGAAATCGCATGGTATTGTAAAATTTATGATACACACCTTTATCCATTATGCCACCTTTTTTAACAAAGTCGCAACTGACGTTCCAGCAAAACAGCTCCAAACCATTACGGAATCTCCTCCGTGCTTAACAGTTGGAATTATACAATTTTCACTCATTTTTTCATGAGCTTGTCTTCGTACATAAACACGGCACTTCGAAGAAAATAATTTGAATTTTGACTTGTGAGTGAAGAGAACTGTCTTCCAATCTTCCGGTGTCCAATTATTATATTTTTTTACACAGACCAATCTTTTTTTTTTATTAACTTTCCACAAAAGACGTTTTTTAATAGCCACCCCCCCCCCCCCCATTCAAGACAGCATCACGAAGATGGCGTTTAATTGTAGTAGCTGACACAGTTTGTATATTATCAGCTTCAATAATCTCACTACTTATATCTCGCACAGTTTTGAAACGATTTCGTTTACACCTTAGAATATGTAACTGGTCGCTCGATTAAGAGCCTTTTAAATAAATGCAGAATAGTCCAAAAAGCCAACGACAGCTCTCCGTACTCCGAATTGCACTAGCGCAGCGAATGGTAAAATAATTTACAACTAACAACTATTTATTTTAATTTTTTTTCATATGCTGTTACGCGATGAGCACCAGCGTTACAAATTTACTAACTACTAATACCTGCTATTCTTCCACTGACTACTCCGAAAAGTTAATATATGAATTCAAGCACAGGAAAATAATCAACGCTGCAAAAAAAGGAAAAACCATCCTATGTACGCCTACATGATGCAAGAAAAATAAGGAGTCATCAAATGCTGGACGTACACGATATGGAATTCCAAGATCTACGTCCGAAAATGCACATACCATGCCTCAAATAATTATTTTAATCTTGCGTAAGCGTATCGGATATTTTCTTCATGTTGCCTACACACAGAAAATATTTTGTAATTTTGCCTATGGAAAGCAGCGATAACTTTCCTAATTTAATTAATATGCGCAATAATACTCGAAGATATCGATAACAAAAATATGTAAAGATCGTCTCGATATTTATCTCGAATTTATATACCGAGAGATACAAATTAACCTCTCGCTATTATTTAATAAAATTCATTTTAATATTCGTCTCAATTTAAATGCTGCTCGATATGCATATTCATATTCTACGCTAGCCACGCCCACTTACGTCTAAGCCTATGCAAAAAGAACGAGATAGCTTAATAGATAGAAAAGGACGGCGTATCACACTCGGCTTGCCTAGTAGATAGAGACAGAATAATATCTTGATCGATGCGATAGGGAAAGATAACGTCATGAGCGAAGATTATCGAAAAAAAATTGTATTGCGACTATGAATATTCATGACTAGGAGAAAGTGGAGAGGGAAGAATTAGCGAGAGTTTGCCGATGGCTTTAGTCAAGTACAGATGTATAGTTCTGTCTCTTTGAATCATTTTGCAGATCTTTTCCTCGTGACTTTCCAAAGTTCAAGTGCCTGTGCACCATAGCTTGCTCGTGCTCACCGTGCCTAAATTTTGAGATTAATTGTCACATTATTGGATGGAATAGGCATTACTGGCGATAAGAGATTATTTTGAGCGTATACCAGCTTTACATAAAATTAGAGTGAGTACCGCACGACTTATCGTTACCCAGACTTTTGCCAATTTCATTTCATTATTCATCTCGATCCGCATAAATGTGCCGTATACCAGCGAAATAACTGACTTAATGAATAGTGCGAGGAGGAGTACGTAATAGCGCATTCGCGTTCGAAAACTCGTCGTGCCTATTTTTATTTTGCGAAATCTTGTCTATTTTGTTATTAATAGTTTTAAGATAAGAGCCTATATCCTTAGACTAACATTTACGCAAAATAATATCGTCATTGTATGTTATCTACTCTTCACATTTACACAATCTCTTTGTCTAATAAATCGGTTCAATTAATTTTGAATCTAACTGTATGATATATTCTAAACCTCCCGCCTTGTCCTCTATCCATCCGACCTTGGGTTTCGCTCCAGCTTCGACAGAGAACCAGCGGAGTTAGTAAACATATAGCCGATTTTGATCCGACTACTTGCTATCAAGGTAAGCCACGACCAAGCATCGATTGAGCTAAGCCGCGGATAAATATCGCGGATAAACAAATCTGTACACCTATTGATTCGAGAATAATATTTTGTCAGCTTCATAGTTCAAGGGGATTAGCCTGACGAAATGCCAAATTACTCTCTATAAAATTATTTACAGTGCGGGTTGAAAATTCCAACGCCCGCCCTTACTACTCAGGGTGGCACTCCCCTGAAGAATTAATCCTGCTTAATTAGTAGTGCCTGGCGCCCAATAATCTAATAAATTAATTATCGCAATTTGGGATTAATATTCCGCCAAGTAGCATGGTAATCATTTAGTCGGTGAAAGCACCATGTTACAAATAATATGCTGATCTTGTTGTGAAGTTGTTTTACGAGGCCGACCTACGCGCTTACG